TTTTTTTTTTTTAAACGATGACTTTGTATTTTATTTTTTTTTAAAAGATTTTATTTATTTGACAGAGAGAGACACAGGGAGAGAGGGAACACAAGCAGAGGGAGTGGGAGAGGGAGAAGCAGGCCTCCCACAGAGCAGGGAGCCCGATGTGGGGCTCGATCCCAGGATCCTGGGATCATGACCTGAGCCGAAGGCAGACGCTTAATGACTGAGCCCCCCAGGCGCCCCAGTGCCCCCATTTTTTATTGCACCTCATTAATAGCCTTTTTGATTTCGATTTGGTTAGATTTATTTCTTTTATTTCTCCAGAAAGGTTTTCTCTAATAACTTCCACGCTTTTTTCAAGCCCAGCTAGTATCTTTAAAGTCATGATTCTGAACTCCAGGTCTGACATCGTACTAATGTCCGTATTGAGTAGGTCCCTGGCAGACGGTACTACCTCTTGTTCTTTTTGCTAAGGTGATTTTTTCCATCTTGTCATTTTGTCCAGAGGAGAATAGATGAATGAGAGAACAAAATGCTAACAGGGTAACAACGTCCCCAGAAAATATACTCTAAACAAATCAGAAAAGTCCTGAAACCAGGGGGAAAGAAAGAAAAAAGAAAGAGGAAAAAAAAAGAGAAAGATAAAAACAAACAAAAACAGAATATGATCAGATATGATCAGGCTAGTGCATAGATCAGTGCCACACACTAGATTTTGGGTGTATTTTGGATTGTTAGAAGAAAGTGCTTCCTGAAATTTTAAAGAAAGACATATATGTACAAAATAAGGGTTGATATGATGAAGGGATGGAATATGAATGTAAAGGTGAAAATTACAAAAAATTTTATAAAGGAATTGATATGAAGTTTGCAAAAAGAAAGAAGAGGATTTAAAAAAAAGAAAGGTGGGGGAGAGAAATGTGATCAGGCAGGAGACTAGAACAAAGCTTTACACTAGAGACTTAGGGTATATTTTGATCTGTTAGAAAAAAGTGTATCTCAAAGTTTTAAAGAGAGAACAACTTATATGTATATGTGTGTGTATATATATATATATATATATATGCCAAAAATAAGGGTAACTACTATGAAGGGATGGAATATGATTCTAAAAATGAAAAATAATTTTTTTTTAAAAAAGG